TTTTTTTTTTTTTTTTTCCATTGACTTGTCAATATTTTAAAACCAGATGTTTCATAACTTCTCTTGAAAAACAAAAACATAGAAATAAAAGCTCTAGCAACATTGTCCTGTGTCACCACAAAATCACGGGGTCTCAGGCGCTCCCACCTCATGTTTCTTGAGCACCTGTTTTTTCTTGGTGCCGACACAGAGGGCAGTCTGTGGCCTCAGGGAGTTGGGGCTAGTTGGACACAGCCAACCACCGGGAAGTAAGCACTGAACTCAACAGAAGCCAATGTTAATCTGGAAGAGATGAGGGAAGTGAAAATCTAAAAGCTTTTAAAATGTTAAGAATTGGGGCGCCTGGGTGGCCCTGGCGGTGAGCGTCCGACTTCAGCTCGGGTCATGATCTCGCGGTTCTTGAGTTCCGCCCCGCGTCAGGCTATGTGCTGACAGCTCGGAGCCTGGAGCCTGCTTCTAATTCTGTGTCTCCCTCTCCCTCTGCTCCTGCCCCACTCACACTCTGTCTCTCTCTCAAAAATAAATAAACATTAAAAAAATTTTTTTTTTAAATGTTAAGAACTGTTTCCTTATTTGGAGTTCAACATGTATGTTTTGTTTTTTCAATAAATCCTTAAGTTCTTTCCAGACAAGGACTATTTAAGCTACTTTGTATCATCTATATTTTTTCATACTTTGTGCTTTTCTTGTATTTGTAGGGTTAAATATTTGAATTGGAATGTTCTAGAACAGACAAATGAGTCCCAGATGCCCAGGCCTGCTCTCCCAACTTTTCCACCTAAGCCCAGAGGCCTACGGGCAGGTAGGTAAGCTGGCTGGGGACCAGAGGCCTCTGTGATTTTGTGGGGATTCAGGACAATGTTGCTAGAGCTTCTGTTTTTGTGTTTTCAGAAGTTGTATCCGGTTTTAAAATATTGACAAGTGACTAAAAAACAATCTCAAGACAGTAAGTATACCCGAGGTGCCTGGGTGGCTCAGTGGGTCTGACTCTTGGTCTTGGCTCAGGTCATGATCTCACAGTTTCGTGAGTTTGAGCCCCTCATCAGGCTCTGTGCTGAGCGGAGCCTGCTTGGGATTCTCTCTCTCCCTCTCTTTCTGCCCCTACCCCACTCATGCTGTCTCTCTCAAAATAAATAAATAAACTTAAAAAAAAAAAAAAGGCAGTAAGTACACTCCACAAAACCTATTGATCAGATTTGTCTACAAGCCTCAAGTTTGTGCCTCTCCTTAAAACATCCCTGGCATTGGGGCGCCTGGGTGGCTCAGTTGGTTAAATGTCTGACTTTGGCTTGACTTATGACCTCACAGTTTGTGGGTACAGCATCCAGCCCAGCGTGGGGCTTTGCACTGACAGCTCAGAGCCACTTTGGATTCTGGGCCTCCCTCTCTCTCTCTCTCTGCCATTCCCCCACTGGCGCTTGTGCACTCGCTCTCTCTCTTTCTCTCACACACACACACACAAATAAATAAATAAACGTTAAACCAAACAAAACCATCCTCAGTGTTGGTCTTGTGTCCCTAAAGAGCTTTCGAAGCTAATGGGTTAATGCTGCTGTCCCAGGAGGGCTGGTTTATCTAGGGACTGTTGGTAACAGACAGCCCTAACCCAGAGGCATATTTATAGCCCTGGGTTTGGAGGGGAAGCCCCTTTGCCCAGACCTCAGAGTACAATGCAGGTGATGAAACGCCCAGTTCACAGGGCCAAAGGAAGATATTTTAGGTCAGGGGACCTTTCAGTGACCCTGAGTGACATCCCATCAGCATTCATTTATTTAGGAGGAGGCAAGCTGCCAAACAGGAGGGTGCCACTGAGCACAGCAGAAGGGGAAGGAGCCTGGGAGGAGGGAAAAGATCTGCCTTTGACATTTGTAACTGCCATGAACTGAAGGTCAGAAATAGTCCCTTCCATTAAGAAGTGGCTGTGGATGAAAGAACTCATAAGATTTATCATTGTCACTTCCTGTGACCTGGTGGTCTGAAAATGTTGTATAAAGGAAAGAATTTCCTATGCCTCGGCAATTTGTGAAGTACCAGCTTAAATTTGCAGACACTGTCTTGAGGATAAAAGGAAGCATTTTTCAAAGGCTATATAATCAGGAGATGTTCACCCAAAAGTATCTCTGAAGACAGGACAGGTAGAAGATGAAGAGGAGGACGAGCTGAGAATTTGTCTGACTTTGAACTTAACACAGTGGCCTGATAATAATATAGCTAACATTACTCTGGACTCAGCAGTGCTTACTTACTTACAGCTATACTTACAGCTGTACTTGCTTACTTACAGCTATACAAGTGCTTACTCTGTGCACAGTCCTCAGCTTAACAGATTTGGAAACAAAGACACAAAGAGAAATGCAGTACTTGGCCCCAGATCTCACAGGTAGAAGCTATTATCTATATAATGTGTGCAAGTGAAATTTTTGAGACATTTAGTTTGTATTGTCATTTTTTTTTTTCTGGTAGTATGTTAAGGGAGTTTTGTGTTGAATTAAGTAACATTTTTAACTACTGTTTCCTGTGAGACACTGTCCCTATCCTAGATAATGCTGATGCTCATACCAGTGTGTACAGGTGGGCCCAGGAACTAATATGAAAAACTGTGCCTTTTGGTTTGTGGCAATAGCAACCATTTTCAGAAAGCCTGGTGTTTGCCTTTCTGCCTCTCCGAATCATGGTTTGCTCAACTCCTTTGTTCCAGAAGAACCACTCTTTTCCCAGTCGCTACACACCAGGCTGATCTCCAGCTGTTGATTCCCAATGTCCTGTCACATTGGTTCACACTGTTTTCTTTCACTGATGCCATTCTTCTGACCATTAGGCTTTGCATTGGCCCAGTGAGCTCACTTCCCACAAGTTATGACAACAGCTTATTGTGATCTGTTTCCTACAAGGAACCTGGAGGGTGGGGATCACTCGGCCACATCTACCTTTGTATTCACCACCTCGCCTTGCACATAGTAGGCATTTAATAAATGCTTGTGGGATGAGTCCATGAAGGAGAAATGGTGAGCACTGCCTCAGCTCTGGACACATTCCAGCACTTTCTGGTGGTTGTCTTGTCCTATCATGGCTCACCTGGCTCTGGGGTGATGAAATGATGCAGAAACAGAATGTGACCCGTTTGGTAAACGAGGACCAAGACACGGATGGGATGCTCTAGTTTCCTAGTCACTGCTCTAGAGTCATTACATTTGGTCAGAAACTCCCAAAGTCTGAATTTTTCTTGATTTGATTTCCATATTTCAATCTAAGAGTACCTCTCAGGCAGATCTTGAGACTGCCTCAGTACCTCCCTGAGTCATGTATCTGTCTGGTCATTAGCATTCCGCAAACAGGAAGTGCTCGATAAATCTTTATGGAACTGAATGAATTGATTGGACATAACCTTGGCAGCCATTAAGTTTACAATATCATCAGTCCTTTGACAACTGTGTTAAGTGGTTTGGACCCATGTGCGTATTTTCTTCCATATGTGTTTGGAAGACATGGCCATAAGCTAGAGTTTCTGGATCAGGCCCCCAAAATGTTTGCGGATACTCATTGTCTGCTAAATTGGAAGGTTCCTCAGACGATATCCTCTGTTATAGTCTCAGCACAACCGATTTACAGATTTAATAAGATGGTACCTGTCACCAGGGATGGGGAACAATTGGCCAGGACCTATCCCTCTGATGCAAGCTTCCGCTCAGCCTTGTCTTTAGGATCTTCGAGAACATTCATCAGTGTCTGTGTGCCCTTGCAGCTAGCGGGGCCTGGGAGCCCATGGTGGTCCGTGCGGTCGCTGCTGCTGCAAGCTGGGGAGACTTGGCACTGGGTCCTGAAGAGGTTAACCGTCAGGGGACGGCGCTGATCCAGACTCCAGTCCCGGTTCTGCCATTTGGGGGTCGTGTGGCCTTAGACACGCTAAGCTGCTGCTCTGTCACCTCTGAACGTCGACTAACGACAGTATCCAGCTTACCTACTTCACAGGCCACTGTGAAAACCAAAATAAAAATGACAGCATGCATGTGAAAGCTTAGAGTCTTATGGAAAAGTAAGTCATGTTAGGTTAATGATGCTGTTCAAACTTTTTTTTTTAGTTGATGGGCCACATAGATCAAGACCCTGGGGGCGCCTGGGTGGCGCAGTCGGTTGAGCCTCCGACTTCAGCCAGGTCACGATCTTGTCTGCGGAGTTCGTGAGTTCTCAGGCCAGCGTCAGCTCTGGGCTGATGGCTCAGAGCCTGGAGCCTGTTTCCGATTCTGTGTCTCCCTCTCTCTCTGCCCCTCCCCCGTTCATGCTCTGTCTCTCTCTGTCCCAAAAATAAATAAACGTTGAAAAAAAAATTAAAAAAAAAAAAAAAAGACTCTGGCTCCAGTGAAGACTTCAAGCTGCCTCGACATGATGCCCGGAGTTCTCCACTGAGGGTGCTGTCTCAGAACACAGCAAGACTCTGCCAGGACTTGCCGGTGACAGAGTGGACATATTCCTGTGTTCTCACGGCAGGTTGGCGATCGTGGCCCGGCCTCTGTGCCAGGGATTGGGGGAAAAAGTTATGTTGCTGTCTGGGCAGAAGCTGATTTTCTTACTAAGAAATCTGGCACCAGACGTGTGCCACCAGGACTGAGTTCTGTGGTGTCTTCCCAGCTTGGCGGATTCCTTGTCGCCCTGGGGCTCTGGGACCACAGTGTGTGGTGCTGTGGACTGGCTTAGGTTCAGCAGGAGCTGATGGGAAAGGTGCCTTGGGAAGATGGGCCAGGTCACAGAAAGAAGGGCAAGCACTGGCTAGTGGTAGCGGGGATGAGGCTCGAGGACTCCAAGCACTCTGAGAAAACACAGCAACCTATTGTTTCGGTCTTGGGTCTGGGAGTGCACTTCATGTACTGGCCACACATAGTACTGTGACCAGTTCCAAGCAAGATCAACTACAGATGTGAATTCAGAGCAGGACACAGTGCATTTTCCCAAGTAAGGAGGGTGACAGACACATATCTTCTCAGCCCAAAGAGGCTTCTACGAGAGAATAAAGGTCCATGTGATAAATGGGCCCAATTTCCAACCCCTCACCTAATTGTACAAGTAAGTTAAGAATTTTCCCATCAGATGGGGCGCCTGGGTGGCTCAGTCAGTTAAGTGTCCGACTTTGGCTCTGGTCATGATCTTATGCCTTGTGGGTTCAAGCCCCGTGTCGGGCTCTGTGCTGACAGCTCAGAGCCTGGAGCCTGCTTTGGATTCTGTGTCTCCCTCTCTCTCTGCTCTTCTCCCACTTGTGCTCTCTCTCTGTCTCTCAAAAATAAATAAAAACATTTTAAAAATTAAAAAAAAAAAAAAAAAGAATTTTCCCACCAGAGCAGAGGTATACAGAGAGAGCAGGTTCTGGAAGTAATGTGGGTCCTAGTCACGGTTTGAGGAAGGTGTCACTTTCGCTGTTACAGAGCAGAGCCAGAGTCTCTGGGCCAGAATGTGAGCAAGTCATTTCTACTACCTGCGCGTCAAGAATATAGCTTCTTTCTTCATGGGTTGTTACTGGACACACAGGACTCTAACTGCCTTAAAGAAGGGGCCACGGTAATTCTCCCCACATGAATCTCACTCTTGTGCCTAGAACTTTCCCTACCTTTCTGGAGAAAGCCAGTTTGGTGTCAAATTAATCTGGACAGACTGTGCTGAAGGCCTAAGAAAGGCAGACATAAAAGGGTAAGAATAAGGGTACAAATTCAATACCGTGGCCCGAGAGGCAGGCAGGGCTGCCAAAGGAGAGGCAAGAATTTCGTACATGCCAAGGACTTGAAGTCAGAAATAGAAGAGATGGGGCATGATGTGAAGGAAAGGCGAGCTGAGGCAGGAGGAAGTGTGGGCTTGCCCTCTGACCACAGGCCTTGGCTCATTCAGGGGCCTCAAAAGCCCTGAATGCACAAACAAGGGCCCACCGGTACTGGAGAGGGTCTCCCTTCTCTGCTCACAGCCTTCCCTGCTCCTGGCAGCGTCAGTATCTACCTGGCTCTGAGCTTGGCATTCAGAGCCTTGCCCTGTGGCCACAGCTGGCCTCTCCAACTTCACCCCCACCCCAAACAGGCTGAGCCCCTCAGCCAGGGCCTGTGCTAGAAGGCCCTCCGCCCTCCCTCCCCTCTGTGCTCGGAACATCCACCTGCCAAGCCCCAGCTCAGTCTCTCTGAGGGAACTCCTGGTGTCCCAGGACCATCTCTGTCCATGTCTCTCCCTGGCCCAACCCTCTGGCCATGGCAGTCCTCTCCAGGCCAAGGGGGCCTGTCACTCAGGTGTGCCTGCCAATCACCCGTGGGGATTATTAAATTACAGGTGCCGGGTCCCCAGTCTGGGTGATCTCGTTCCTGAGCTCCATGGGTGATGGGTGCACGCCCGGGCATGAGGCCCCTCATCTAAACCACTCATGGGGAGGTTTGCCTGTGAACCGGGTCCTAATCTGGGTGCTGGAACACAGGTCTGAAGGAACCACATTTCAATTTCTTTCTCAATAATTTGTTTCAAGCTTTCCTGACCCTAGGGCGATGGAAACTCAATTGTCAATTTCAGGGATCCCACCCTCACCTTTGGGCACTCAGCAGCGCCAGCTGAGTTTCCAGAAAGACTGTGTTGGTGACGGCAAAGCTGTTTATTCACTGAGAGAAGCTGACAAATATCCTGGAGCAAAGGTCAGTCCGTCTTTCTTGCTCTGACCTTGCCGCAGCCAGGGTCACACGCCCAGAGGAGGGACGTGGCGGAGGAGCTGGCGGGGACACACCAGGTCAGTCTGTGGCAGTGGCACCTGGAACCTGGGGGAAGGAAGGGTCGTGATGAGGTCCACTCAGTTTACTTAAAACTGAATGAAGTCTTCTCCCCGAACCTGCTTCCTCTCCTGACTTCTCACCTGTTGTTCAAAATCCTAGAGTCCTCTTTAAGCCTTTCTCTCCTCGCCCTAGAACAGTGTGGAACTTTAGAGGCATTTTGCCTAGTCCTTTATTAAAAAAAATTTTTTTAAGGTTTATTCATTTTTTAGAGACAGAAACAGAGCCTGAGTGGGGGAGGGGCAGAGAGAGAGGGAGACAGAATCCGAAGCAGGCTCCAGGCTCTGAGCTGTCAGCACAGAGCCCGACGCGGGGCTCAAACTCACGAACCCTGAGATCATGACCTGAGGCGAAGTTGGATGCTTAACCAACTGAGCCACCCAGGCACCCCTCACTTTTGAATAACTAGATTATTTTAAAAACCCCAAAAAACTAGATTATGAATTGCCCAGGGCAGGGGCTTTGCCTCATACTTCTTGGTTTCCCCTGCAGGACCTGGCGTTGAGGACTGCGTGATAAAAATCTCAGTCACCTCTTGTGTGTGGTGTATGCTGAGGGGAAACTTCAGCAAAATCCAGACATTTCTAGGCAGAAATGTCCACTGAGCCATTATAAGCCCAGAAGAGCCGGAGACATAAACCAGGAAGGAAATATTTGCCATACAGGGTGAGCAAGCCCCAAGAGTAGCCGAAAAACTCTTGGGGGAAAGAAGGGGTGCACAAGTCCAGCAGGTGCCCCAGAACAATAGGGGAGACAGAACACACTGAGGACCAAAAGTCAGAACCAGACTGAGGCTTTGCTGCAGCAGGAGGTGACCCAGCGCCTGTGGCCACGGGCCCAGGTCACCTCTGGCAAACACACAGGTGCGCCACTATTCCCGATGGGATTTCCTGGGCTCTCCAGTGACCCCTGCCCTTCCCAGGGCTGGGAAGTGTGGTGGTCCCTACTCAGCGGCCTCCTGTTCCATATGGGACTCCAGCCTGGCTCCCCAGCTTTCCTGCTCCGGCTGTGGCTGGCCGCTCTCCTCCCGTCCCTGTTCCTTCACCCCTGGGCAGGGTCTGATGCCATAGGGGGCAGCTGGACAGTCAGGTGATGGAGGGGCAGTTAGGCCCAGTACCAGCCACCGTCCTCTCCCTGCAGATCCCGTCCCGCTCCAGAGGTGGGGAGACACCAGCACGTGGGGGTTCAGAGACACACCACGGGCCCAAACTCTTCACCAGGCCCAGGGCCTCCCAGTCCCTATAGGGTCTTCAGATTCACCCTCTCATCTGATCTTCCCCCAAACCTTGTAAAGTGGGGGTGCACTGGAGGACATTCCAGCCATGCATCAGATGAGAAAAACGAGGCAGGAGGTGCCAAACATTCCACCGAGCGGGAGCCGGGACTGGGGTCTCCCACCTTCT